ATAAGACAATGATTTCAGTTCTTCTGTTTCTCATAGAATGTGAAAATTATTTTTAAAAATCATGAATAATATTACTAAAATAATAAAAACTCAGTGCTGTCAAGTTGGAACCAACTTATAGGTGACCCTTCCTTGAGTTTCTGAGGCTACAAATCCCATGGGAGTAGATTGCTTATCTTTCTCTCTTAGAGTTGCTGGTGGATTTGAACCAGCAGGGAGATGTGGTCTTTGGATTAGTAGCATAGTTCCCTGCAGGATAGGTTACAAGTACTCCCCACTAATATCACACATTAAAAACTATGACAACAACACATCCACGAGGAGCTGCCAGAAACTCAAGCTGGATTCAGAATCAGGCATGAAATAAGGGCCATCTTGCTGACATCAGATGGATCTTGGGTGAAAGCAGAAAATACCAGAAAGATGTTTGCTTGTGTTTCATTGGCATGCAAAGACATGTGACTGGGTGAACCATAGCAAATTATAGATGACATTTTGAAGAATAGGAATTCCAGATACTTAATTTTACTTATGTAGAACCTGTACATAGACCAAAAGGTTGTTGTTTAATCAGATAAGGGTATATTGCATGGTTTAAAATCAGGAAAGATCTATGTGACTGTTGTATCCTTTCCCCACACTTAACATCATCTATATGCTGAGAGATGATCCAAGAAGCTGGACCATACAAAGCATTGCATCAGGAATTTAGAAACTCATTTGAATCTGTAATATGCAGATCCCACTATAGGGAGCTCTGGTGGTATAGCCCACAGAGAGGAACTGCAACCCTAGAAGCCATACCTCTCTGTAGGTTTGGAGCTCCCAGATTTGAGGAGAAAGTTGAGCAGTCTTCTCCTGTGTAATTTACAGCCTCTGAAAACCCACTGGAGGGTCAGCTATGAGTAGGTTCCAACTCAATGACAATGGGGTGGGGGGGAGAGAGAGCGAGAGCCCTGAGAGAGGGAGGCCAATCTTGCTGGGACTAATGGTGCTCAGGAGAGACAAGCTTCATAGAGGATGTGACTGTGAAGTGTATTGATGTAGATGCTGCAACTGCAGGCTTGAGTACAGGAGTGGTTATGAGGATGGCGCAAGACCAAACAGTGTTTGGTGCTGTTGCTGTGAGTGGGGACTGCATTCGGCTGCGTTGAGTGGAACTGACCTGACAGCACTGAACAATGACAGGGAAAAGGAGAAAGTGGTGTTGTTGTTGTTAAGAGCTATCAAGCGGATTATGACTTACAGCAACTGTAGGAACAACAAATCTGAACTTTGCCCTGCCCTGCTCTGTCCTCAGCATCTCTGACATGGTCCAGCCCACTGTCACAGTCACGGGATCAATCCAACTTGTTAAGAGTCCACCTCTCTTTATCTGACCTCCACCTTTCCCAGCTTGGGGAATATCTACAGAGAATGAGGAGAGCAGCTTGCTATGAAGGGAATAGCATGATCACTTAGCCTCCTTGACCTCAGTAATTCCTCTGTGAAATGGGGTAATGAGCGCTCTTCCCTGGGCTGTTGAGAGGACAAATGAGATAAAGGGACAACCCAGGTCACAGTACTGGCTTCCTGCCTGGCCTTGGGGCAGGCCAGTGTCTGCTTCATGCCTTATGGCAGGAGGATGGAGGGGACATCTTGTCCAGTGTCTGTCCTTTTCTCCTATCCCCTCCCCTTATCTTCCTAAGCTTTGGCCCTCAGACATGGAACAGCTCTCAGATAAGAAAAGCTGTGGGAACTCTCAGGGGCTCAGGCTGCCCCAGACAGAACCCACATAAGAGGAGACCTTGTTCTGGGGCACAGCCAGCTCCCTGAACTCAGGGTCACACCAAGGCCATGAAGTCCTGGTCGCTGGCAAAAGGGAACCGCTAGCTCCTCCCATATGGGGAGCTCTGCTGGCCTAGTGGCAAGAAGCAGCACTGCAATCCCAAAGGCATGGGGTTTGAGGCCACCAGCAGCTCCATAGGAGATGGATGGGCAATCTCCTCCCATGCGATTACTGCCTCGGAAAACCTGCCATAGGGTCAGCCATGGGTCAGTTTCAACTCTATGGTACACAACAACAACAATAGCCCCTACCATAACTCTTGTCTAGGGTGAGACCCTGGATCCCTTCCAGTATCTGCATTGACAGAGGAGTTGGAAATGTGTATACTTTCCCTGAGCCCCACGTAAGCCTACAGGAAAATGAGGTGCTGCTGATTATTGACTGAGCCTTAAATGCATGCAAAGTCCTTTGCAGTAGAGGGAAATGACATGTCCCTGCCTTCAGGGAAAGACAGGGGAGCAGGCAGCTCTCAAGCGGCATAAGTGGCCCATGAAGCCCATGCAGGAAGAGGGCTGTGGGAGCTCAAGGAAGCAGTGCTCCAGGGTTGTGGAGGGATGTAGAAAATCTTCATGGAGGAGATGATATTTGAACTGAGCCCTGAAGGATGAGTCCATATTTCCCCCTTCTGCCTGAAAAAAAAATTAAAAAAGGAAAAGGGACCTTGGAGACAGATGGGACAGCTGAGCAAAAAGCATCAGGTATGAAAGCACAGGATGCCCAACAATACAGGGGCCGGAGGCTTGTTATCATGTGGCAGTTGGATCCACACTCAGAGCACCTGAATGCTGTGTTAAAGCACTCTGATTTCTCCTTGCTGGCATACAACAGATTCTCAGGAGGAGAGTAAAGATTCCAGCCAACCAAGAGGAGAAGAGACAGAAAATAGCATCTATGATTAGCACTGAGATTGCACTCCTGTCCAAATATCTGGTGCTGCTAACCCATAAGTCTCCGTTGGTTCAAATCCACCATCAGGTCCACGGGCAAAAGAAGAGCAGTGGCCTCTTGTTGTAATTTATTGTCCTGGAAACCCACTGAAGGATTGCCGAGTTGGAACTAACTCGATGGCAGTGAGTGACCAAATTATCAGCTCAAAAATACACGTCAAGTTTGTTCATTTTTTAGTTAACATATTACGGCACTAGATGAAAATAACAGCTGTACCTTCTTTACGTTCACTGATGAAAATGGACCTGTAATGCGTGCAGTGGGGAGCTATGGTGGCTTAGTGGTAAAAAATGGCACTGCAATCCCAAAGGCACATGGTTTGAATCCACCAGATGCTTCACAGGAGAGGGGTGGACAATCTCCTCCTGTGCTGTTTACTATCTCTGAAAACCCACTGGAGGGTTAGCTGTGGGTGGGTTCCGACTCAACATTACACAACAACAATGCGTACAGCAGTCTGTAACCTTCAAGGGGTTGGCACCTCTTGGACACGCCCATATCCTCCGGGCCCCCTGGTCGTCATAAAAAGCCTCATAAAGAGTGGGATGTTTGGGAATTAGACATAACAGAGGGTGGAGAGGATCAGAGCAATGGCCAGGAAGACTGTGAGGTTGCCACAGAGTGGAGGCCACCCCAAAGGGTAGAGCAGGAAGAATGACAGGGGCCTTCCCTAGAGTGGAAGCACAGTGTAGTGGCGATGGCCTCCTGAGGCTGTTCTCCCCAACCCCGTCAGTGCCTTGGTAATAATAGCACTGAAATGAATTAACCACACGCAGACACAGGCTAGATAGCAAGAAGGAAGTTTCCTCGCCTGCCGTCTTACTGAACCTCATCTTGCCAATACCCTCCCCTCACCTCAATCACACTGAAATGACCCTGATCAGGCTTCAGAAGCAGATCAGGCGTGGGGAGAGGAACAGATCACACGATTAGCTTTGGAGGCTCCCAAATACCAAGTTACTATGGCTTAGTGGTAAGGAGTTGCACTGCCAACTCAAAGGAACTTAGTTTGAACTCATGTTCAAACAGCTGCTCCATGGAGAAGGATGAGCAATCCCCTCTCATGCAATTTACTACCTCTGAAAACCCACTGGAGGGTCAGCTATGCAGTTTTAACTTGCTGAATGTTCTATCAGAGCTGGCAATGGAAATGATGATAATTAACAGACATTGCCCAGTGGCACCCCCTTCGAGAGGTGCCCAGTGTTCATGCAAACAAGAAATCATCCAAGACTGGATGCTTACCAAGGGGAAAAGGAATGGCTTAAGGAACTACTGAAGGTTAATTGACGGAAGTAGAATTAATTGTGTGTATCTAATGCAGGACTGGTATAGCATGAACACTGGGAACCTCTTGAAGTGAGGGGGAGTGCATTCAGCAATGTCTATTAACTATCACTTTCCATCAGGAGACACATTGAACTGGGAAAGTCTGCAGTTAGGGATCTCTCCAAATTATTGAGGAGTAATGATGTCAGTTTGAGGACTAAGGTGCTTCTGATTCAGACTATGGTCTTTCTGATCATTCGCTATGCATCTGAGAGCTGGTCAATGAATAAAGATGACAGAAGAAGAATTGATGCCTTTGAGATGTGGTGCTGGAGAAGAGCACTGAACATCCCATCGACTGCCAAAAGAACAAACAAATATATCTTGGAGAAAGGGCAGCCAACGTTTCCTTTGGAGGTAAAGGTGATAAAGTTTCACCTCACAGACTTTGGGCATGTTCCTAGGAGGGGCTATTCCTTGGAGAAGGACATGATGCTCAGAAAGGTAGAGGATTGGCTAAGGAGAGGAAGACCCTTGACCAGGTGGATTGACACAGTGACTGCCACAATGTGCTCTAATGTGTCAGTAAGTGTGAGGATGGCACAGGATAGGACAAGGTCCAGATCTATAGTTCATGGGTCGCTAAAGGTCATACTCAACTTGATGCCACCTAACAATAACAACGAAAGCTAGCCCTCCATGTCTTCAATTGTAAAATGAGGGGTTTAAAGTTTACATGACTAAATGCAATCATATTAAGCCCCAGCACATAATAATAGACAGTCAATAAATAGTGTTTTCACCTCCTTTCAGATGAAAATCTACCTTCGATTCCTTCAATATCCATCAAAGAGCCTCCCTCTTTCTATCTTTCCACAGATAAGTCCTCTGAGACCACACTGCTACCTACTTGTGTCCCCCCTTCCTCCTTGTCACCTACCTTCTGGGCTCCTACCTTTCATGGCTTGAGCCCTGGGCCCTGGGCCCAGCAAAGCCACGGCCAGCAGCAAACAGGATCCTAGCTCTGCCAGCATCTCCTCACCAGGGTCCCCACAGGTCTGCAGAGCTGAAGACAGACTGGAGACAAGAGGTCCCAGGATCTGGGGGTCCAGAGCAGGTAAAGGGAGATGAGGCCGAAAGGGCCTCCCAGTTAATGGTGGTGTGAATAATTCATCGCCCCTCGAATTAGTAAGCTGATCCCCAGGTGCTTCCCTCACTCTACCCTAAGGTGACGGATCTGGTGTCACCAGGTTTACACATTCTGAGATCTAAACTGCATGAAGGGAGGTGACCTGGGTCTGGAGGGAAATTTGCTGGTGGAGAAGGGGTATGAGATATAAGGCCAGGTGGCTTGGGTGTTAATCTCCATTCAGCCTCTAACTTGCCTGGTTACTGCAAAAAGTCATCTAACCTCACTGGATCTTGGTCTTCTTGCAGGTCCAGTGGGATCATTACATGTGGTAGCACATATTAAAGCAAAGAGTAGGTGCTTGCTCTTGACCTTTCTTGTCTATCACCCTATACTAATGTTGTTATGTACAGTCAAGGCAGAACTGACTTACCAGAAGGTTTTCAGAAGCACTAATTGCATGGCAGGAGATTGCTCATCTTTCTCCCATGAAGCATCTGGAGGATTCAAACCACATGCCTTTGGGTTGGCAGTAACCCCGAAGCCATCAAGAATCCCGACATTGTTGTTTAGTGCCTTTGAGTTGACTATTGACTATAACTCCTAGCAACCCTAGGAACATCAGATCAGTGCCGTGCTCTCTCCTGTGCCATCCTTCTCATCTCTGCTCCACCTGAGCCCATTGTTACAGACACTGTGTCAATTCATCTCATTAAAGGTCTCCTCCTTCACTGACCCTCTACCTACCTAAGCATAATGTCCTTCTCTGAGGACTGCTCCCTCCTGACAACATGCCCCAAAGTACGTGAGATGCCCTAAGGAACACCCTGGTTGCACCTTCTCAGAAACATTTATCTTTCTTCGTTTAGCAGTGCATGGGACATTGAATACTCTTCTCCAACATCCCAACTCAAAGGCACTTATTCTTCTTCTGTCACCCTTATTCCTTGTCCAACTTTCAGATACATAGCAAGTAATGTTGTTCTTTAGCACTTTGTAGAGGCTGGGCAGCAGATTTTCCCACTATAAATACGACTTTTGATTTCCTGACTGCTATTACCAAGGGTTGTGTGGATCACAGCAAATTGTGGCTAAGAGAAGAATAGGAATCCCAGACCACTTGATCGTGTTCATACAAAACCTATACTTGGACCAGAAAGCAACTGTCAAAACACAGCAAGATAACGCTACGTGTTCAAAATCAGAAAAGGAGTGCATCAGGGATGCATCCTGTCTTCATATATTCCCTTTTCTGTTCTTTTTTTTAAGAAAAAACCAAGGGGTAAAAGTGGGGGGGGTAATTAAAAGTTTAATGGAAGCTTGTGGATTTCTATTCATTCATTGTTGCCCATTTTCCTCTCTGCCCACACCTCCCCCCAGTTGGTTTTTCTCTTTGAAAAGTAAAAAAACAAAAAACAAAAAAACCCCAACTTTCATTATTATTCAATCTCCCCCTCCCCAGTCCACTCCACCATGCAGCTCTCATTCTGGACTCTTGTCATGAAAATAATACCTAATTTTATATTCCTTTCAAACAGTTCTCTCCCTCATTTGTTTCAATGCAGTATACATTATTAATCCCCTCTTTTCTTACTTTCCCCCAACCCCAATGTCAGTCCTGCTTTACAACAGTGGCCTTATGCAGTATTTGTCCCTTTGTGACTGAGATATTTCACTCAACATAATGTCTTCCAGCATCATCCATTTTGTATAATATTTCATAAGTGCCTTGTTTTCCAATGAAGCATGGTATTTTATTGGGTGTATATAACAGAGCTTCTCTATCCATTCATTTGTTGATGGGCACTTGGGTTGTTTCCAACTCCTTGCTATTGTGAACAAAGCTGCAATAAACATGGGTGTGCATATATCTGTTTGAGTGGCAGTTCTGGTTTCTTTAGGGTATATTCCCAGTAGTGGAATTGCTGGGTCAAATGGTATTTCTATTTCAAACTTTTTGAGAAAGTGTCACACCGCCTTCCATAGTGGTTGCCCATCTCATACTCCCATCAACAGTGAATAGGGGTTCCAGTTTTTCCACAATCTCACCAGCATTTGTTGTTTGTTGTTCTGTTAAATTTTGCTAATCTTACTGGGATGAGATGATATCTCATAGTTGTTTTTCTCCATAACTTTTAAATCTCTATGTAAAACAGGTCATTCAGGAGGCTATAGTTTATGAGGAGGAGTGTGGCGTCAGGATTGGATGAAGACTCATCAACAACCTGCATTATGTAGGTGATACAACCTGCTTGCTGAAACTAAGGAGACGGGAAGCATTTGCTGCAGAAAGTCAAGGACTGTAGTCTTCTATATGGATTGCAGCTCAACATCAAGAAGACAAAGGTTCACCACTGGACCAACTGGCAGTGTCATTATAGATGGTGAAGAGATTGAGGTTGTTTCTTATCAATATTGGCATGCTCAGTTCTCTAATCAACACTCTTGGTACCAGCAGTCAAGAAATCAAAAGGTAAATTGCATTAGGAAAATCTGCTGTCAAGGACCTCTCCAGAGTGCTAAAGAGCAATATTGTCAGTCTGCAGATTAAGATGTGCCTGATCCAGGCCATGGTCATTGCAATTACTTGCTATGCATCAGTAAGCTGGACAATAACTAAGGACGACAGAAGAATTGATGCCTTTGAGCGGTGGTGCTGGAGAATAGTATTCAACATAACATGGACTGCCAAGATAACAAACGGGTTTATCCCAGAGAGGGAGAAACTGAGCTGTTTCTTGGAGGCAAGGATTTGGAGGAAGCTACATCTCCTATACTTTGGGCATGTGACCAAAAGGAGCAAGTCCTTGGAGAAGGACATCATGCTTGAAAGGGTGGAAGGACAGTGAAGAAGAGGAAAACCTCAGATGAGATAGATTGATACAGTGATGGTGGTAATGGGGACAGATGTGCCGGAGACAGTGATATTGGCTCAGGATGGGGAGGGTTCAGAGCTATTGTACATAGGGTTGTTATGAGTCACAGGTGACTCAACAGCATATAACAACAATACCAAGGGTGTTGATTTGGGATCCAATCAAGATGAAATCATTGGCAATTTCTATCTCTTCTCCATCCATCATGATGTTGCCTATTGGCCAAGTGATAAAGACGTTTGTATTCTTGATGCTGAAATATATTCCATAATGAAGACTATAGTCTTTTATTTTCTGCAACAAGTGTTTCAAGTCTTCTTCACTGTCAGGAAGCAGGGTTTTGTTGTCTGCATAATGAACATTATTGATGAGTCTTCCTCCAGTCCTGATGTTACATTCTTCTTCATAAAATCAAGCTTCTCCAATTATTTGCTCAGCATACATATTGGATAGTATAAGGAAAGGCTACAACTCTGACACGAAACTTGCTTAATTTTAAACCATGACATATTCCCGTGTTCTGTTCAGACCTTCTTGGTTTATGTATAGGTTTTGCATGTGCACAATTACATGTTCTGAGATTCTAATTCTTCTCAATGTTATCCATCATTTGTTATGATTCATACAGTTAAATGCCATTGCATAATCAATAAAACACAGATAGACATCTTTCAGGTATTCTCTGATTTCAGCCAAGATCCATCTGAGATCCTTCTAGGAGAACCAAAAGGAGCCTCAAATTGGAGGAGAAGCATTTTGACATGAGAACTTGGGGCAGAGGGAAAAGAAAGATGGTTGTAGTGGACAGTTAATGTGGATGATTCTTCTTTATGGAAGGACGAGCAAGAATAATAGAAGTAGAAAATTGTATTTTGTCTAGTGGTAAGAAACTGTGCTGTAATCCCAAAGGCACATGGTTTGTATCCACTAGCTGCTCTGTCAGAGAAGGATGGTCAATCTCCTCCCATTCCATTCACTGCCTCTGTAACCTGCTGGAGGATCGTTTATGGGTTGATTCTGACTCCATGGCAAAAAAAAAAAACAAACCAAAAAACAAACAGCAATAAGAGTCTCTGGGTGGGACAACTCAACAGTTGGTTAGTAACTAAAAAGCTGATGGTTTAAATCTACCCCCACACACCTCACAATAAAGACCTGGAGATCTGCTTCCGGAAGATCACAGCCATTGAAACGCCTACAAGCAGTTCTTTGGTACACACAGGGCTACCACGAGTCAGAATCAATGTGATGGTAACAGGTCTAGTTTTGAGGATTTTATGCAATTGTAAATCTAGACCTCAGTGTAAAGTCAGGCCAGGGTGTATGAAATTTTCATTGCTTTATTGATCGATGAGCCTTGTTTGGACATCAGTAGGTGCCAGGCTCATTGCTAGGAGCTAGAGCTGCAGAAATGCCCTAAGGGACTCTGTCCAATAGGAAATAAATGGATCTTTCTATTTCCTTGGGGATCTTTTGATTTGGCTCCATTTAGTCCAGCACTCGTTTTCTAAGCTACTTTGTGCAGAGCTATGCCAGACATGAACATGGCTGAAATAGATGTGGCTTGTTCCTGCCCTCCCAATGTGAAGCCCTCCCGACGTGAAGCCTGGGCTCTGATTTCTGATGATGTCTGAATGCTGGTCCTACTGCTGCCTGGCTGTGTGAGCTTAGGAAAGCAACCCCACCTGAGAAGCCTCAGTACCTCTAAAGGGAATTGAAAATAATCGTAGGAGCCTCAAGTTTGCCATGAGGATTACTGAGGCTATGTATGTGATTCTTAGCTAGTGTCTAGCCCAATGCATAGAAATAGGTATGATTTTTATTTACCTGAGGATCCCAGATGTCCATTTGACAGATAACATTGTACCTGTCATTCATCCTCTTATCTGGAGGCCCCAAGGGGGCCCTTTGCTGTCAGCAGGAGGAGGCCACCTGGAAGGTGTTCAAGAAAGTACATCAGGAATATTGGGTCCTGAAGATTATCTTACCTATGGGCCTTAATTGGCAGGTAGAGAGATCTAGTAGATAG